GTGGGAAGTCTTCAAATGAACACCCTATATAACATATAGCATATATACGAGTCTATGTGGGAGAACTCGAATGAGTTCTTTTTATGGCATGGGGATTTTCTACTGCCCAAACATGATATAGACAACTAAAAATGTATTAATTACTTCATCCTGTCATCACCTTTGTTCACACTCGTATTTTCAATTCAGCCAACCAAAGCAAAAAGGCGGTGGTACAAGAAGTCAAAAGAAATTAATGAAAACAACACAAGCACATAAGACACGCGATAGGTCGTAAATCACTGGCGCCTGACAAGCTCAAAGCGCGCCGTCGGTAAATTTTCTAAGCCGCAAACCCTTAAATTGTGGCAGCAAATTATCCATGGTTCCTGCGCCAGAACAAACACCCTACACACTGAGAAGCAGCAGTACGATTTTAATTTCGAAAAGGAGATGTTTTAAGATAGGTGCCCTGTCTCAGTGAAGTTGGCCCAACTATCAAAGCTACGATTTTTATGAAATTTGTCATAATAAATACTGCATTTTTTAAATAGCAGCAAATCACCATTGTGTTACATCGTCTTTTCTACTGATTATGCTTCCATACGTCTTGACATAGTGTCAACTAATGTTTGGCAGTCATCTGGTGTAAAACTGTTCCAAATTTCTTGAAGACGGGTTCAAAATCCTGCAACGGTTCTTGCGGGATTCGATTGACGCTTTTCCTTCATGATATGTCACAAGGTTTCAATCGGCGATAGAGGCAAGCAGCATTTTGAAGCGCATTAATGTACTTATCAACATTCATAATACCTTCCACAAAGTGTGAGTTTCCCACTCCACGTGCTGAGATGGATCTCCAAATCAAAGCAGCCGGAAACTTACCTTTTTTTAAGACAGTCATTCTGAATCACTTCTTTAGTTCTTATGACATATCTAGTACTATCACCAACGCATACTTCAAATCTGGCTTTATCACTCCAAATAATGTTTCTCTTTTAACGCTTTGTCAGAAAGGGCTTCTCGTTTTCCTAGAAATACTGAATTAAAAACGAATAGTTTTTGGGCAGGTCTTGAAAACTTTTTGTGATTAAAATTTTCAATTCGTTATAATTAGCATGCCGATTTTCCTTGATAATGCATTTTAAGGCTCTTAAGTTGGCATTGGAACAACGCGGGCGACTTCCAGTTCTGGGTTTTTGAGCCACAGATCCCGTTGTTTTGTACAATCTAATAATATTGCGAACTGTATACCTCGATTTGTTAACACTGTCAGCGATTTTGGAAGCATTTTGGCCTTTTAAATACAAGTGAATGATCACTTTTTGAAAATTGATTTAAATGTCAAGTGTTATCATTTGTTTTACAAAACCTTCAGTCCATTCAACTTAAATTGTCTCTATCATGTATTTTGCTATACACAAATAATTTTGCAAAGAAGACAATTTCGAAATAAAAACGCTTTAAAAAAGCCGCGTTGGTTTTGTTATCTTTCCATAAACATTTAAAGAAACCAAAAATATTATATTTGAAATAAAATTTTAAGTAACCCTCAAGTAAATTCAGAAATATCATGTTTTGGGGCGTTGGGCCAAGTTCACTGAGAGCTCGAATATGTACCTTTGCGTGTTTCAACTAGATATGATCTGGGCTCTTGAAGCTGAAAATATATTAATACATTTATTGCATCACTCCAAATGTCAACCTGCTAACTTGACCCGTTCAAAAAGAGGTAGAGTGGGGACCTTTTTGAAAAGTACTGTATCTGATCTTTTGGCTTGACGCACATGTCAGTTTTTTAATGCTAATTCTACAGGTTTTACGTAAACGAAAGAATCTGCGACAGTCCTTAACATGGCGCGAACAACGCCGCTCTTAAGGTGTAGTCAGGTGCCAGTTGGAAGAACTGTAAGACCTTAGTCATCCTCAGGAAATCTGAATTGATTGATGTAAAGTGATGGTTAAAAACAAATAAGGGGTGCTCAAAATAGAGAGCAGTGATAAATAGATGTCGCATTTTATCTGCCTGTCGGATTTGTTTCCGAACGTTATTAACTGAAATAGCGTTACCTACACGAATACCCGAAAACAAATTGACAGCGGAGACGGCTCACTTTTTGCTTGTAGGTATTATGTAAGGCATTAAAGTATACACGGCGATAGTACAAACTAACATCTCAATAGGCAATAATTCTACACCTGTCAAAGTCGCTAACATGGTAATAATTTGAACGTCTTCGAACTCGAGGCATTTTGTTATGCTTAATACTAGTAAATGAAAGGGTAATAACTGAAAATATTGGTCTGTACTACTCAGCTCTCAGAAACTGCTTTCTTCACAAAAACTAAGAGATAACATTTTAACAAAGGTAAACAAAAACAAAGATAAAACATTGACATTGTTGGATTGTGCCTCGGCATGCTTTAAATGCAGTCATTATGTTGCCAAAAAACAAGTTGAAGAAATTATTTTTCTGGGTATAATACTTCTAATGTCACTGAGTATATTTTTGTCTGGATGTAACGCATTAATAACCGGGCAATGCTCCCATTTTGGTAATACAGTATTGTTATTTCTACCCTTTTTGAATAGAATAAGTCATTGTTCAATATGTATCACAACTAGGTAGGTAACCTAATAATTTTAAAATAAAAGGCAAAGTTTTTCTATAACATGACTGACGCTAAATGTTCTTGCTGGTATTAAGTTAAGCTAGTCGAACTTATTATAAACTCAGATATCTTCACAACATCACAACGATCGAAGATAGGTATAAACTTTATTATATAAAAGTTACTAAGTACTTCATGGAAAATCTGAAAATTAAAAAAAGTGGGGGTTTCCATTTAAAAATCTAAAGTGTAACGCAATATCTTACTTTTGGATCAACCGGCTATAGATGAAAAGTCCCCATAGAAATCAAAATTGACGTGACCGATCGTTTTACCCAAAATATACCAGGAGAGTCACAAATGGGGGGCGACCTTTCCGTTGGGGCACCCTGTACACACGAAAAGGACAATAACTCAGTACAAATTAGTGCGGAATGAACTATTTGTACACTAGGAGCTATCTAGTCAGCAAGTTGTCATTTTTTGACACACAAAGTTCAAGTTTTTGACTAATGTAATAAAATTGAGTTTAACAAACCACAGATGTTTGAATTCAGAAAAAAGTGACTATCAGTATCACTGAAAATATACACGATGTTCCGTTTAAATAAATACAACTTCGATAGCACTTTCTGAGACACCCGGTATACAAAAAATATTACATAAAAAACTTTACATTCGCTATAACTTTATATACAACTTTTTCTTCATCAAGGTAATATAAAAAAGTTAGATAGGGTCAATTTATAGCCGCACACCCCCGAACATCCCATCGGAGTAGTTGGTTTATCCAATAATCAGTTATCAGTAGATGGCTTGCGAAGTAGTACCTACTGTATTGGTACCACAAAACATATACACTGAAGAAGGTTTAGTCACGTGCTATCCATAGGGCAACACGGTTGATTTATGTCGCCATTTTTTCTTCACGCCACATGGTTGCCAGATTGTACACGAACACCGCAAGCGACCGGCAAGGCTATTAACATGTTTTTGCTGATTTGACAAATATACTAAGTGACATATAAATCCGAACACCCAGTTTAAATGGTTTTATTTTAATAAAATTTTGTATAAGTACTTAATGAAGCATAATAAGTAAATGATAAAATTTCAAAATGATTGCACTGCTTTAAAGCCCTTTGACCTTTAATCATGTGTGGATGCACCCTGATGTGCTACGCATTCTCCAACGCGCCTTGGCATGCTTCTGATCAGGTGGTCAATGTCCTCCTGTGGTATTTCATTCCAGGCAACCACCAACTCCTCTCGAAGTGCTTCTAGAGTCTGAGGAGGACGTTGCAAATTGAGCAATCTTCTACCCATCATATCCACACGTGCTCAATTGGGGATAAGTAGGGAGATCTTGGTGGCCATGGTAACAATGTGACATCATTATGTTGAAAGAAGTCTATTGTGACTCTTGCAACATGTGGTCGGGCATTATCTTGTTGGAAAGTTGGATCTGCCAGGGTGTCAAGATAGGGTAAAAGATGGGGTTCTAGAACTTCGTGGATATAACGCTGCGCGTCATGTTACCTCTGATGAAGATTAAAGGTGACCTGGAACCATAAGCTATAGCACCCCAAACCATAACTCCAACAGTGTGATGAACATGTCTTTCAACAAAAACCTGTGGATTCCTCCTTTCACCACGTCGCCTTCTAACCCTGGCACGACCATCGTGCATGCCTAAACAAAATAGAGACTCGACACTAAAGACAATACTGTTCCATTCCTGATCCCAGAGTGACCGTTGTCTGCACTACTCAAGGCGATTACGTCGGTGTTCTCGAGTTAAAGGGAGGACCAAGTGTGGCCGGTATGAAAACAAGCCAAAACTTCTCATTCGTCGGTAAACACTTCGCATGCCAATAGGTCTTCCGTGTTCTGCAAACCATTCATTTGCATGGTCCTGGTAGTGGAGAAACGGTCCCTTAAGGCCAATAATCTTAGGCGGCGATCTTCACGGTCTGTTGTTCTACGGCAGCGTCCAGTGCCCCTTGCTCTTGCGTACGGCCTTCTCGAAGCCATGCCTGACAACACCTAACCACAGTGTCTACACTTTTTTGCACTCTAACTGCAATTACCCGAAAAGAAAGTCCAGCTTCCCGAAGTCCCACTATACGGCCAGTATCAAACTCACTAAGTTGACGAAATCGTACAGCTCTCCGTACTCTAGGCATCGTAACCGATCGTAAAGGATGTCAAGAACCAAAATCCGCCAACGTTGATTCTTTACTGCGGCTGAAATATTCATTTTTAGAGCGTTAGTGAATTAAAAAAAAGCAGTATAAAACCGGAATGTCCAACTGATAAGGCTGAAAATTTTTTCACTTGTTATTTACAGTAAGATAAATACATTCACCAACTTTTATTAAAATAAGCCTTTTAAACTGGGTATTCGGATTTATATGTCACTTAGTATAGTTATTTGAATTTTGAGAACAGCAAAAATCTTTACTTGAGAATATATTTCATCTAAATTTTATATTGTATGGTCCAAATATTTTCAATACTGATGTTGGTCTTTTGCAGCACCTGCATGGAAAAATTGTTAGAATTAGTGATGAAAACAAATTATTTTCAAAATAAATAATAGTTATCGTTAACGTCTGTGAGGTTACTAGTTTCCAGATTTTTCATAAGAATTATAATACAGGAATATCTAATCACATTTCCATAACATTGTTTATCAGAATGTAAAAGTTTTACGGAGAATATGATTATACATAATTTAAAAATATTGACAACATCGTTAAAATATATCATACTTAGAATAAGATTTTATATGATTCAAATATGTTGACTATATATTTTCAGGATATCTGACTTTCGATTCATTTTTATCAGCTTCTTTTTAAGCTATACATATTTAAAAAAGTAAAAAAACCTTAATTTAAAGTACATATTTAATATTAACAGAAAAACTCTACGAAACCACTCAATTTGACGTAAACTTGCATTAGCCATGATTGTGAAACACATTAGCCATGGTCCTGAAGCACTCAATGGTCGAGATATATAGATAGGAAACAGCAAGTAATCTATAGGTATTCTATCTATCTCAGATCACCATGGGTTGGCAGTCATTCATTTTAACAGCTTGTAGAACTCGTCAAAAGAAGTAGATATACCAAAAAGCACCTATATAAAAGTTGCATAATATGAGAGTTAGCTTACATTATTAAAAATTATTCAGAAAAAATCATTATCGAGTTAAATGGATATCGTTTTTGCAAAAACTGTTCAAAATTGTCCCAATTTGTTCGATTAACTCAAAACCTGCGCTGTTGAAGTTCGTACAGAGAATTTACTGCTCCATTATGATACACTAACTCTTTCAAATAGCCCCACAGAAAAAAATCGCAAGGCGCTAACTCATGGGCGAGCAGGCCAACAATGGGTCCATTGCGCACTATGCAACTAATCGGAAACTCATTATTTAGATGTTTATGAAGTTTTCGTCTAAAATGTGGTGGAGCCCCATCATGTAGGAACCACATATTCTGTCTCACATGTAGAGGATGATCTTCTAATAATTGTTCAGATTGTGTCGAAGAAAATCTAAATAAATTTCACCGGTCAGTCAGGTGGAAAAAGTAGGATCCAATGAGCATGCCATTTGCCATGCAACAATTATATAGGTGATTTTTGGTATAGATATCAACTCTTTTGGATGAGTCCAACAAGCAGTTAAAATAAATGACTAAACATTGAAAACACCCTGTAGAATATCTCTATCACTAAACCGTTTTTCAATTAATCAGGATGCTCCATATGTTGATTACAATCAACTAGAAGAAAACAAGTTGTTATCTTATACAATTTTACCATCATTTTAGATCTTACACTCCAGATTCCAAAGTTCATCAACTCAACAAAAAATGTAGTTTAAATAGGAACGAGTGAAATTTGTAGTTACGATAAACCTACCTTCGAAGCCATCCAGTCTTCCAGGCACAAATAAAAGAGAGGTTAACTAAAAATGACAGCAATAAATCATCATAGTTGTCAACGCCACCGTTGCCAGGTAGTGGTCCGCACTGTTTCCCGTTCTCCCGTATGAGTTGACTCCTCATGGTTGATACTACGAGGTCAGCAAAAAGGGTCAAAGGTGGCTTAGTTGCCAGGCTTCGCCTCCCCACCACAACTACTACCACCAATAACATATCACTGCTAGCAAATAATTGGAGTTCCGAAGTACCGAGTGTTGTTCGTATAAGCACAGCAACTTATTATTAGAAGGCAGAGACACGGTACACTAAAGCTGCTAGCAGACCGTGAACTGTGAAACTTCATGTGTCAATCAACACTTTCGGGCAGTTAACAAATTTTATGATTCGACAAAACGGACATGGTAGCATTCCTGTTCGACTATTTTCGCCGGTACCAAGAATCGACGATTGAAAGCCCACTGGTGACGTCTGCGAAATAAGACTTTTTTGCATTGCACTGCTCGAATTTTAAAATGCTAATTTGACGTCGCTTTGAGTTTACACCAGTTTCTAATACAGGGTGGGCCAGGAAGACGTACGCATTTTAAAACCGTATTGCTCGTGACAGGCACGCGGGAGTGGGACACGGGTAGTGGGGACAAGTAGCTTGGTGCTCGGAAATTTAGTCGCCATGGAGCGATTCACCGGTGAGCAGCATGCTTTCTGTGTTAAGGCACCCATATGAACTTCACCGGTGAGCAGCATGCTTTCTGTGTTAAGGCACCTATATGAACTTCAACTAGTGCAGAAATTGGAACCGCAGGACCCCATGTACGCCGTGCGTTTGCCAAAACAATGTTAAAGTACTTTCCAAGTTTGAACAATATTCTCTTTTCTGATTAAGCTAATTTTCATTTGAGTGGAATTATCAACAAGCAAACCTATCTACAGTTATTGGGAAGCAGAAAATCCCAAATTAAAACATCAACGACATTACATTCGCGTTATGTTACAGTCCGTGGCTTCCCCGGAGCCCAGATCTCACGTCTCTGGATTTATTTTCTCTGGGGATACGTCTTGAGTCGCGTTTATGCCCATAAACTGACGACGATTGCCCAGCTCAAGCACAACATGTCCGCTATGCCACGAGCGATGAGCCAGCGAGTTTTCACGAATGTGAGAAGTCGAGATACGATGAGTGCGTCCCTCTCGATGGCTCACATCTGATTGATGTTATTTAAAAAAAATAAATTTCCATTTGTCTGCTTTATTAAAAATAATTTTTCTGCCCTGCGCTTGGTAATTTTTTCTATAATTTTTTAAAAATTCTCTCCACTCAATGGTCCATCCTGTATTTCAGCTATTGAAAATGCAATTTTAGAGAGACAGGTGATCTCAAAGCGACAAAATTGTTTTCGTTTGTTGGTAGTATTTCAATTTTGTTGTAACTTTCAAAATCAGTTCCATTGCGTTGTATCACTTGGTTGCTAGTTTTTACAC